CATCCAGACACATCTGACTGAGAGCCAGGAGGAAGCCTGAGGTGAAACCAGGTCCTGATGTCAGAACTGCATCGGCTCCCATGTCATCAGCCAGAAGATAGAGTTGCTGAGCAGTGCTGGTCCTCACCGCTGGACTCAGGTGGCTGAGGAAGGACACAGACAAACACAGTCCTGTCAGTCTCTGCAGCTTCTACAGGTCTTTGTAGCGTTTCATTCAGTGTGTTGACCTTATCTCAGTCCAGTGCTGAACAGAACCGTCAGCAGGACCTGCTGATCTGTCAGGATGGATCCTGGACCTTCACTGGCTGCAGGGTGGTGTGCCCTTTTGGACATGGGTGTCCCAGCTGGACAGATGTGATGTCTCCAGAGTAGAGTACATGGGTGTCTCAGCTGGACAGATGTTGTGTGATGTGTCAACTTGCCTCTTCTGACAGCCAGACACATGTCATGTAGTCTGATCACTACATCTTCCTGGTGATCCTGGCCCAGAGCTTGGACCAAGTGTCCCTCCACTTCCTTTTACTAGTCGCCTCCTCCGAGATGTTGGTGGTCCAGTGACAGTCTCTCCTCGGGTGTAGATAAGGCTCCACAGCTGCAGCGGTACATAGATGTCCCAGCTGGACAGATGTGGTGTGATGTGTGATAAAGTCGTCTCCTCGGAGATGCTGATGGTCCAGAGACAGACTCTCCTCAGGGGTGGATGAGGTTCTACAGCTGACCAGGTGTTTTGAGGAGGCATCGGACGCTCACAGGAAGGCGGGACCTCCGTCATGACTCCACAGCTGCAGCAGGTCCAAGAACAAGTCTTTTGAGGAGGCGTCGGACGCTCACAAGGATGCGAGACCTCCTCCTGGGCAGTGGAGCTTGTGTTGGAGGTGGAGCTGGCTCAGAGAGGGGCTCCTCATCAGGTGTTGTGATGAAGGGGATTTCTTTCACTTCCTGTGGAGTGTGGATGTCAAAGGAGCTAATGAAGCTGTCTGAGGAACTGAGACTCTCCTCACTGAGCGGCTGGATGTCCTCCATGAGCATGAACAGATGTTCCAGCAGCTCAAACTCTCTGACACTCGGGAGAGGGACTCCCCCCTGTTGTAAATGGAGGTGTGGAAGGGACCACTAACCGAGGACGCACCCTACATGGTCTCAAAAAGAAACGAGGCACTGCATCACACCTGGAGGGTGTAGGTGTAGGTATGGTGCGACGCAGTCTGGGAGCCTAAACATGAACAAACAAAAAACAGTTTCTTTAGCTCTTTTAAAACAACCATAGCTGACACAAGTAATCTAAGATTAATGACAATAAAAATTATTTCAGTAGCAAACTAAAATTTTATCAAAGCAAAACTAAAATACAGAACAAATCAATTATTTGAACAATAAAAGTCAAGATATTCTAACTGCTGGGCTTTCAGTGTAGAATAAAAACAGCTTCATGTTTCTGATGGGTTTTAGATAAAAATTAGATCTTTATATTAAATCTTGTGCTCAGATAATGAGTCAAGTTTTAATGAGTTTTACTGTTAATAAAACAATAATTGAACTGAAAAATTTACAACAAAACTACAAAGTTCAATTAAAGAGATTCAAACATTTTATAAAGTTAGTTGATGTTTTCAGCAAAGTAGCTCTCTGCAAACTTTCAAACTGCTAGCTTAAAGCAAAAAAGTAACAAAATGCTGCTAAAGCTAA